GAGCCTCGAACCCGCAACGAGCTGTTGATTTCGCATAGCGTTTAGCATGAAAAGAAAGCGGCTACGAGTCCATAAATTCACCAAGAGCCTGCAGCAAATGTTCGAGCCACGGAGACGACGTGCAACCGAGCGTCGTTGCCACGAGGCGGGCGCCAGCGAGAACGGCCGCGGCCGCGTACACGGACGCAAAGCACCAGAGCAGCGCCGTCCACGGTGTCGTCCAGCACCACGCAAACGCGCCGCACTGCGTCTGCACACAATGCTGCCAAACGCTTGGCATCGGCGGCGACAACGTCCCGAGATAGACGGCGTCCTCGTCCTCATCGTCGTCGTCGTCGACATGGCTCAAAGGCATCGCGAAGGTGCGTCGGGCCGGCGTGAGGTAGATTGCGATCCACATCGCGACAAGGCAGGCGACTGCGTCGCAGAGCAGGAGGCCGGTACAGGCGATGTCCCATGCCACCGCCAGCACGACGAGCGCCAGTAGCACCAGTCGGACGCATCGATTCGTCATCATTTCGGGCAATAACGCCCCATGACGGGACGGTATATGGCAGCTGCCACGGGCGAGATGTACCGCATTGAAGCCTGCCTTCGAAGCCTGGGCGGGGCAAGATCGAAGCCTGGTGCAGAGATGGCAAACCTCGATTTCCTCGCGACATGCTGCTCCAAGAAGGGATTGCTGTCGTCGTCGCGTGGCAGATCTTGCCGTCGCCGCTCGCCTTGCTGCTTACTGTGCTTTTCTTCGTCTATGTTGGTTCTGACTCTGTGGTCTGCGCACTCTTGCGCCGCAGTGTCTCCAACCCCGTCACGACGGGCGCCGTGGTTGCGCTCTCGACCTGCATGTGGTCGCAGCTGTCACGGGCCGTTGCGATCCCAGCCAACGTGTTGCTCGCGCTTGTGGCGCTTGTGAATCCCGCGGCCGTGGCGTGCCTGCGTCGTATGGACGTGCACCTCTTCCAAGCCGCCAACGACGAGATCGTGGACGGCGTCAAGATGCTCCTGCTCATTCACATTCGCCCGCCGCCGCGGGCGACAAGCTCCCGCCTCGTCATGCTCGCCTTTGTCCGCGACGAGGTGATCAAAGCGGTGCTACTGGCGCTGTGCAAGAAAGGGTACATGTACGCGGCGGGTGTCGAGAACACCGAGAGCTTTTTCCGACTCGTGGGCAAGATCTTGGTCGCAACCTATGTGCCACCGTTCCTTTACCAGTCGATCGCACGTGCCTAAGACACAATCTTGGCTTTAGCGTTAAGGCTTGGCCTATGTAATTGCATGTCTCGACATTGTCGGTCGCCACTCGTCAACGCTTCCTGACCGTCCATTCTTGCCGAATTGAAACGGCGAATAAGACTTGGAAATGGACGGCTGTCCGCCGAGCTGTTAGAAAAATGTCATATCGTTGTACTACTGTAGTATATCGTCGAGTGCATAGTTGCATGAACAAGATTACGTCCAAGGCTTTGAACATTTTTGTACTCTTGTACTGGAGGCCATACCATGGATTCTGACCTCCGATACTTGAACCTTTTTCTAGGTAGCAATCCACTGATACGAGTACAACTAGGGATATCGTGGTCATAAAACCCGCAGCAATACGTCGCCATTAACATGACTTGCATCCATAGCTCGTCGCCACCGACAAGGATCCCATCGACGGCGAGCTGGCTCGCGTGAGTCTTTCGTGTGGTTTTTATTTCTCGCATGAGCGCGTGAAAATCGATGTGGAAAATAATAATAATACAATGCCGCAGTAAGATTTCGCCGTATTTGCGAGGCCGCCATGGGCCGCGACACCAAGCCGCTGGACTCGGACTACTCGGACTCGGACGTGGACATGGACGTCCCGTTCCGTGCACGCGTCCCTAGTACGCTATCCAAAGCATCCGAGGCGCGTGCTAACACCGCCTGTCTAGAGCTCGTGGCATTGCCTGCCTGCCCGCCATTGCCGGCCTCCGACGTTGGCGGTACTACCGCACTGCTACTAGTACGACATTGCAGCTCATGGAGTCATGTCTAGTCGAAGCGCCGCCAATGAACCTTCTGTCGC